TCTCTCTCTCTCTCTCTCTCTCTCTCTCTCTCTCTCTCTCTCTCTCTCTCTTTCTCTCTCTCTCTCTTCTTTAAAGACTAATCTAAATTGTATGGGACAGTTCTGGTTAGCACTACATTGAGATAATATTATTCCAGAAAATGAGAGGATTTTGCTGGGAATTCAATCCAAACAGGATGTAGGAAATGGAACAGAATCTCTCTCAGCCATTACCAATGGACAGAAGTAGAGCAGAGCAATCAGCTCTCTGGAAAAACGAGCAGAAAGCCTCTGTAGCTGCAACATGCTGGTGGGGAAGGGAATGATTCTGTGGAGTGCCAAGACTATTTCTAAGCTGAGGACTTTGTATGCAGTGATGAAGTACCATCTCATCCATATTAAGCTCAGGACAAGTGACTACTTCTCAGCCCTGCCATTACTCTGAGAATCACCACTGTTACCTTCTACTTGATGGAATGGTAAGGGCCTATGTTAACAGTAAACACAATGCTTTTGTGCATCTCAATAGAGATGGGATGAGATTGAAACAGGACAAGTATTCAAAAACATGTGACAGTACCTAACATCTTTATTAGATGCTCTTAAATTTCATTGTCATTTTCTCAGCCTGGGCAATGTAGCAAAACTCTAAGAAATAAAAATAAAAGAATTTGGGCTAGATTATTTCTTGCCATTTGCAAAAAATATATTTCTATCAATGAACATGATACATGTATGTACATATAGGTAGAAGTACAAGTTGATGACAAATAATATATGGTTTTATTTTGGCATGAATTTAGTTGCTTCTGTCTCTAATTCCCAGTGTTTGATTTATCTTTCTAGATCTCCAGCCCTGATGATGGTTTTGACGGTAAATCACTTTATGAAAGCTGGTTAGAAAAAGACCCTTCACCTGAAAATAAAAATTTTCCTAGGTAAATTACTCGTATGCATTTTTTCTACCATAGGATAGATTATGACATCTTATTTGCACCTTGTTTCTCCAAACATGCACTTCTCAGATGTCTCCTCACTAATTTGAGTAAAGAAAAGATAATAAAGTTCTTCTGTCCAGCCTTTGTTTTTGCTGATTAGCCAGCACAGCTAAGTCTTTTAGCATGCAATAGAGCACAGATAGATCTAGTTTTGCAAATTTTTAGCCATAATGATTTTTCTACATTATTCACCGTTAATAAATAATATAACTTCAAATGATAATGAAGTAAAAATCTCATGATGGATTATTTACTTTTAAATGTATTAAGGGGCATTATTAATCACCACCAAATTGTATCTTTATATACAATTTAGATTTATATAAATACTAATTTCTTCACCTTCTCATTCACACTACTCAAGCTTCCTTGAGTTCATTTTATGTTTGTTTTCTACTGCAATGCTATTTCTAATATACCGGTTGAGCATCCTTAATCTGAAAATCTTAAATCCAAAATGCTCCCAAATCCAAAACTTTTTGAGTACCAACATGATACCACAAGTGGAAAATTCCACACATAAGTGTTTAACACAAACTTTATTTCATACACAAAATTATTAAAAATATTGTATAAAATTACCTTCAGGCTATGTGTATAAAGTATATATGAAACATACATGAATTTTATGGTTAGACTTGAGTCCTACCACTAAGATAACTCATTATGTATATGCAGATATTCAAAATCTGAAAAAATCTGAAATCTGAAATAGTTTTGGTCTTCAGCATTTTGGATAAGGGATACTCAAGTTGTACCAGCCTATGACGGTAGCAGTTTATACCTTTATTCCATATTCCAAATCAGTCTTATGAAAGTTTATAAGTTTCCATTGTAGAAGTTCCATATGCTAATTTAACAAAAATAGTAGAATACAAAAAAGATTTTAAAAACATTGAAGGTCTCAATCTCCAAAACATATCTAATAATCTAATAGTTTGAAAATATATAGTTAATGTTCTTAATTCATACATAACTTTACATACGGCTTTACTGACTTATATCACAAGTAATTTTCCATGTCATTACATTTTATATATGTATATGGATGTACATGTGGATAGATTAATAGAGGTTTCTTAATTATATGCAAGGAAATATATTATGATTGTTTTTATTTCTGAAACGAACTAAGGCACATTTTTAGATTTTTCATGGTCTTAAATATAGACTTCTTTGTGACAATTTCTTACTAGTTGATAGTTCTCTGAGGGCAGGGCCAATGTCTTTGTTGTTTTCCCCTCTAAATAAAACTATAAATGCTGGAAATATTGAAGAGAGCATCATTACCAGGCTTCAGTCTTTCGTGACACTGCCAAACTTCTTGTATTTAATGTAACTTTATAGGTTTATCGTGGCAGTTTTTCAGCAGACGGTAGGAAAGTGTCTTGAGGATGGTTAAACTTTACTTAATTCTTAGAAGTGTACATATAATTCTTTGCTATTCTTGGGACAAGATTCATTGTCCCATCTATTTAACATTGTATCATTTATTTCTTTGTGTGTGTGTACTATATTTTACATCTAGAATCAATAAGCTGGGATCGGGAAGTGATTTTGAAGCTTATTTTCAGAGACTTGGAATTGCTTCAGGCAGAGCCCGTTACACTAAGAATAAGGTAAACCATTTTATCATTTTGAATATACAGCATTTCATCCACATTCCTTTTGTGAGAACTCCGTCATTGAGTTGTTTGGCACCAGACATCTGGTGGACATGTGGCCTGGAAAAAGTCCCAGGAAAAGAGATAGACTGCATGTCCCTTTGAAGATGGATGAGGAAATAATTTGAATTATTTCGTGAATATTTCATTATCGGAGTTATTCAGCTAAATGACAGTTCACAGAGTAATGCCAAATACTTAGCTGGTTATCAGTACTGAGTAGTTCATATCCTTTTCCTGATGCAGGATTTGCCAGAAAAATCTCATTCTGTAGAAGAGTCTTGTAGGTGGTGAAATGCTCTTTCTGAGGAAAAATGCAATTGAAGGACATATTTTAGTTAAGGGCTAAGATTCTTTATTGTAAGCAGCCCCTCTTCATCTTCCCCACCTTGACTATCTTCTGAGGTAAGGGCCCTTGGTTAGACAATAAAGCAATTTTCTTTTTTTAACTTTATCCTCTTTTCTGTTCTACACTGACTGGTTTGTACCATTGTCACACAAACATCCTGGATGGATATGCACGTATTTGCAATATAACCAACGTATATGTTTGCTTGTCAACGTTATAAGTTATTTCATAAACCAAAATGCAGATTACATTAGTAGATACATATTTGTCATAAACTTTAATCAATTTTCAAATCATAATTCAATACACCATATTGCCTGCCCATATATAATGTATATAATGTGACATAATACATATATCGCTTATAAATTTGACTATTCAGAATACAAAAAAAGAAAATCAACTTAGAGTAACCCAAAGTATGTTTATAAATGCTGTGTACTAACATTCTTTACATTTAATACCTAAAAGATATGTTAACATTCATTACACTTAATACAGAAAAGAGGTGTTTTAAATCTTTTTCAAGGTCTGTTCACTTTTATACTGTGTCATCAATTCGAACAAAATTATCTAGTTTTGAAGACTACTATAGATTAGAAGCAAACAATTAGATAAAAGGAGAGGGCTGATACAGGGATTTCATTTTAGTGGTACTAAAAGCAGTAAGAATGATAGCCCTATAAAACAAGGTAGTGGATGGTAAAAACTAAAATTGAGAATAGGCAGCCCTAAGAATTCAAAAAATATTTATATAGGATACTACTGTGTAATAATTCATGTTCATAATTTTAGCCCTTAATTATGTAATAAAGGTTAAATGGCATTTGGTTATATACTGCTTGGGAAGTAAAGGAACATACTTAAATACATCATCCTGCCGCTATATAGATACTTACCTGCCCAGATCTTTTATTACCAGTCTACTGATAGATAATTTTGAACTATGCTGAGGTGCAGTTTGAATATGTATTTCCTAATTTTAGTTATCAAAAATACAATAAGAAAAATTTTCAAGGAATAGCATTTTGAATGAAGGTTACATGAATTATAAAACAAATAATGGTAAAATTTTAAATCAGTGCATATTTGGTTGTATTTTAATAAGATTCTAACTTTTTGCTTCATTGTGATAAAACGCAGGGTGCTATATGGTTGTATTTTTTCTATAGTTATTTTTATGATTATATAAAATATTATAATTTAAATATTTAATGTTTGTTTATACTTGCCCCTCTCCATTTTTTTTTTAGAAAACAGAAAAGTACAGCAGCTACCCTGTATACCACACAATTTATGAGACATTCGAACTGGTAGAGAATTTTTATGACCCCACATTTAAAAAACACCTTTCTGTGGCTCAATTACGAGGAGCACTGGTATATGAACTTGCAGACTCTAAAATCATTCCTTTTAATATTAAAGACTATGCAAAAGCTTTGCAAAATTATGCAACAAGTATCTACAATTTATCCAAGAAGCATGACCAACAATTGAGAGACCATGGAGTATCATTTGGTAAGAAATGGTTGGACAGATATTTTATAGTGTTTAAGATAGAGCTTTAAGATATTATCTTCTATCATGATTAATACATATTGTTTCATCCTAGAATATATCCCTTTCTCACTAATTCTGACTTCTAAACAAAATCTTTTAAATAAACACCTATTAAAGAATAGGATTTAATCTGATCTGTGTAAAATGAATCCATTATGGCCAAGTTATTACTACAAACATTGGAGTGGTAAACATTTTTCCTATATTACTGCCTTTAAGAACATTTTTAGTGTTATAGAAACAATACTAGATAAATGCAGCATTATTATAAAAGATTGAAAAGTAGAGAAAACCACCAATTCCATTATGGACATATTTTCAATGATTATTATTATCATTATTATTACTATATATATCTTTTTTTTCCCCTACTCACCACTGTATATATCTTTTAGTGTTTGTCTACATGAAGGATTTTCTACATAGTTGTAAGCATTCTTTTCTTTTATAACTGGCCATTTAGTGGTTGTCATTCTATACTGTGTATCTCCTACAGAGTAGGGATGAAATAATAATGTAGTACAGTAGCATTGAGCATTTGGCCTGGAAGCAGTTTGCCTGGTTCAGATACTGGCTCTACCATTTGGTCACTGTGTGACTTGGGAAAGTTACTTACCTTCTGTATGTGTCAGTTTTCATATAAGTGAAATGGTGAAAAACAAAAGAATATAACATGTTTCAAAGATCGTTCTAGAGATTTAGTTAGGTAATATATAGAAGCAGTGGTGGCTGGCACTTAGTGCTCAATAAATGTTATCTATTATTATTGTTTTATTGTAACTATTTTATTCTGGGGGCACATATTCTTCCTATATAACAAAGTTATCATATATGTTATGTACTGAATATCTACTGCATACCAAATACTATGTTTTTCCTGGGATATATAAGAATGTTTAAGACAAAGTCATAGTCCTGAAAGTGCTTAAAGTCTCATATGGAGATGGAGAAGGCAAAATGCAGAGGACAAGTTATTATGGGGGTGCATAAAGAGTACTATAGGAACACAGAGAACAGGTATGGAGTGGTCTGTAATGACTGTTGAATATTATTACATAAAGGATTAGTAATCTTTATGAAGTTATGAAGAACAGCAGGTACTATGATCTAGAAAATAAAATGAAGATATAAATTGTGTTTATATCTATATGATTGGAATATCTCTGCAAAGATAGGGGAAATGAAGAAAGATGAAACTGGAGAAATAAGCAGAGGCTACAGCAAAATGAACATTTATAGATCTGTGGCTATCCATCATCCAGATATCATCCTAAATACTCTGATTTCTGTTTGGTGAATTACCTCTTATTAGTTTGTATAAGTCAGGATCCAACCAAGAAACAAAAACTACACAGTTATAGTAGAAGGGCTCTCTTTATGCCAGGTTAATTCCTCTACCTGTATACCTTCTTCTGAGGTTTGACCTGTTAATGCCTTTCTCTGCCATATTTTCTTTTTTTTTTTCTAGAAACAAATGGGGTTTATTTTTGACACCTCAATAGTATTAGATTTGGATATTTAGTGAATAATCAATTTATACACCTAAAAATTTATTTTATAATAAACACATTATTTCCCCTCTCTAAATGGTGCTCTACACACAACACAGATCAGTCTTACAACTGCATGTTGATAGTGTTGTAGAAATCTAATAATTTTATTCTTTATTAACTGATTCAACAAACATACATTGATTTCCTATGATGCATCAAGTCTTGAGATAGATTCTGAAGAAATTAAATGTGGTGAATATAATACAAGTTAACTAACCATTAAAGTACAGTGCAGTAGGAATTTTCCCATATATGACAGAGGTATGTACAAGAAATGAAGACTTGTGAATACGTATAGAACCTTCTTGCTTAGTGTGACAACTCCGACTTATGATCTACATGATTTCTAAGAGGATCTCCGACATGTGGAGCTTCAGTTGTCCATAGCAATAAATTGCTCTTTAAACCACTCTGTTCCCTGTTATATTCCCCACTCCCTTGCAGTAGTTCCTGGGATTGCCTCTCAAATATTAATAAAATGCTTGTGAACAAATCATTATCGCAGATTCTTCTTTTGGAAGAAACTAAGCTAAAACACTTAGTAAATCCCATCCCTCTGGCAATGATAATGGATCCAAGTCTGGGCATGTGACTAGAATATTGGCATTCAGATTTCTTCTTTGGAATTGATGCTGAGGGAAGAGGCTTTTTCTTTCTGCCAGAGTTTTTCCGCTGGTGAAGCCAACCACCATGCTCTTTTCACGTGGAAATTATCTGTATACAGTAGGAGAGACACATTTGGGGAAGAAGAATGAGACCCAGACCTGGAAATTCCTATAGTTCTTTCTTCAATTCTACAAACTGCCTGGTATCCCTCCCAACTAGGCTACCAATAAATCCCATTCCTTGCCTAAGTTAGTGTTTTTGTTTATATTGCATATGACTAAAATGAGTAATGGTTAACACATATAGTGAAGAGAAATAGCTAATTAAGTGGAAGAGGTTCAATGAACTGGATTCAACTTCATACTGGTAAAAAAATAGAATATAAAAACCACATGAGGATTAAGTAGATAAAGATGTATTTAGATAAAATGCATGTGAATGTGTGTGTTTATAGCATACAGTAGAATTACTATATTAGCATATGTGTGTGTATAGTTGGAGATCTAAAATCATTTCATTATTGGCATATATTTGTTTTATAATGTTCTTTTTATGAATGATTCTTTATCTTTCTACTTTGAATTTTATCTCAGTTTATAGGCGAGGAAGTCACCCTATTGAATAGTTTTAATTTAATGTAAAGGACTTAGATTCCGAATCTAGTCTCTTAATCCATATGTCTCCAAGGTGAAAGGAACAAAAGTTTCTTTAAATGACAATTAAAATGTGACAAAGATGTTTTGTAAGTTGTGAAAGCAGAATCAGGCCATTTACATGTGCTATTGATTTACAATTGTGATCCTAAGTTTGATGGATTTGTAGTATCAGAAGAGGTAAGTAGTTGCATATAAATGTGTCTATTACCCCTGTATATATACTATCATTATAGTAATGCCACATTATCTAAGGTGTATAATTGTACCAAATAAATGTGTCATTTGACAAAACAGTTTGTCTAAATTAGAAATTAATCTCTATTACCGTTGGGGACTATCCATCAGATTAAATGTTCTAATATCTTTTTTTTTTCTTTCTTAAGCTATCATAGGAAGAAATCTTTTCTATTTTAACATTTCTTCTATCTGATGTCCTCTACTTCCTTTACAAATTCTTCATTTAGTGCCAGACAAAAACTGTTCCTGAGAAAATGTATTAATGAAGGAATGAAGGTATGATTGAATAAATGAATGGATGGATGCATAATCTGTACTCCCTATCTATAGTTCTTTACTTCCTACTAACCAATCCACTGTGCTGTGTTATGAACCTACTACTCTAGAGAAACCATTCTTGCCAAAGTTGTCATTGACCTGTGTCACTAAATCGCAGGGACACATTTCAGTTCTTATCTATCTTGACTTCTGTACTGTATTCGAAATTTAAAATTCAATCTTCAGTACTGTCTTCTCTTAGCTTCCACTCCATCTATTATTAGATTATTTGATTTGAACAAGGTTTTAAAAAATGACAGTTAAAGCTTAAGGAATATCTAGGACTAAAAGCCCCTGTGTTTTACACTGAATGTGCTTAGACTCAATGTACTACTCACTACCTGTGTGACCTAATAGAAATCCCATGTCCTGATGTGTTAAGTGCTTTATCTGTAAAATGAATATTGTATCTCCTGCTTTGCTTGCATCACAGGATTAATACAAACAACAAATCAATAATGTATGTTAAAGTCCTTTTAAGAAAATATGGAAAACAATAAGTGGGGTGTTGTAATGAAAAATACAATATATTGTCGGCCCTGTCTTTCTATGGGTTTTGCATCTGTGGATTCAACCAACCGTGGGTCAAAAATAATTGGCAAGAATTCCACAAAGTTCCAAAAAGCAAAACTTGAATTTCCCATGTGCCAAGTACTATGTTGAATCCACATGAATGAAGTGATGTGTAGGCATTGTATTAGGTATTATAAGTAATCTAGAGATGGTTTAAAGTATAGAGGAAGATGTGTGTAGGTTTATAGGCAAATACTACACTGTTTAATATCAGGAACTTGAGCATCTGCAGATTTTGATATCCGTGGGGGTCCTGGAACCAATCCCCAAAAGATACTGAGGGATGAGTATACTGAGAACCTAATTACTTTCCTTAGAAATTTTGTGAACTAAAGAAAAATCTAAGCAGGCCAAACCTGATTCTCTTTCTCAGAGTCTAACATATCAGTTTGTCATAGGTTGTCATTTGAATAAGATCTTAAATGTACTATTTGAAAACAAAAAATGTTATTGTTTTATTCCGTAATAATTACAGAATCATAGTTTATTTATAATTGTATCCAGTGTTTAGCATATAGTAGTCCTAATAAATATGCATTGAATGAATGAATAAAGAAATGAATGCTGGCTTTCTGGTGGACTATGGGTTAGGGAATTGTATGTCCTAGACTTCTGAAAGTTATTTCCTTAAGAACCAATTTAGCCATTTTTTGTTTTCATACAATATTTCTTTGTTGTGATATTTTCTAATAACTTTTCATGGATCTCCAAGAAGGCTTAGTAGAAAAATTGTTTCAGCATCTATTCAGTCATATCAATCTGGAATGGGAAGGGCAGGAAAGTGAGCCTCTGAAATGTGAAGCACTTGTGCTTACTAATTTATCTTCTACTTTTCTATTTTTATAAAAGACTCCTTATTTTCTGCTGTGAAAAACTTCTCAGAGGCTGCTTCAGATTTTCATAGAAGACTTACTCAAGTCGATCTTAATAAGTAAGTTTCAGATGCCTACTGTTTGAAAAGCAATCTCATTACTAGAATGAACTGTTTTCACTCATATAAGCATTCACCTCTAAATCATTGCTATTGAAATTAGAGTCTGCAGACCAGCAGCAGCAGCAGCACCTGGGAACTTGTTACAAAGGCAGAGTATCAGACCCCACCCAAGACATACTGAATTAGAATTTTGCATTTTAACAAGATCCCACGGGTGATTTATACTAACATTGAAGTTTGAGGAGCATTGCTTTGAATGGTAGACTAAAAGCTCATCTTGACTTTGGCCCAAGTCAAGAGCCAAAGAGACATGTCTTTAGGAGTTGGCATGATGAGAATTCTGACTATAGCTAGTAATTCATAGCTCTATAGGTTTGGTGTATTTATAATATATTTCATTACAGTCCCTTGTGTGATACTCCTATGTATCAGTTTAGAAATTCTTTTTTTCGGCAGGGTATGGTGGCTCATGCCTGTAATCCCAGCGCTTTGGGAGGCTGAGGTGGGAAGATCACTTGAGGCCAGGAGTTCAGGATCAGCCTGAGCAACATACTAAAACCCTGTCTCTACAAAAAATTTTTTAAAAAATTAGCTGGGCCTGGTGGCACACGCCTGTAGTCCTAGCTGTTTGGAGTAGGAGGTTGCACTGAGCTGTGACTGCCCACTGCACGTCAGCCTGGGCAATAAAGTGAGACCCTGTCTTTTTATCACTGAAAAAAAAAAAAAAAGAAAAAATCTTTTTAATTGATACTTTTTTGCATTTCATTTAACTTCTTGCCACTTTTAGGTTGAAAATAGTTTAAAAGCTATTCACTGCCTGTGGCCCTCATGGCACCGTCACCAGATTAGTGACATGTTTCAGATCGACCTATGCAACTATTAGACTCACTTATATCCACAAATTAAGGAATGATATATTTTAACTAGTTTTTAGAAGACCTCTATTATAGGAATGTGTAGATTTTCCGTAGAGTGCTCTCAAATGACTTGAATTTTACTCTTAGCACTGCCTCTTTCTTCCTTAGTGATTTATCCTGGTTCTATGAAATAAAGCTAACCTTTTCTTCCTAAAAAAAAAAAAAAAAAAAGCACTGCCTCTTTCTTCCTTAGTGATTTATCCTGGTTCTATGAAATAAAGCTAACCTTTTCTTCCTAAAAAAAAAAAAAAAAAGGAAGAAAATAGCTTAAAAGGTATATTCAAAGTAAAACATTACATAACAAGCATAAATTGGTCCAGTCCATATCACATTTATTTTTTCAGACTTAATCAGAATAATTTGCATATCGACAGAAAGCTGTATCAGTCATTTTGAAGGGCCTCTCCCTGAGACTGTAGGAGAGCCCAAGACACTTATTCAGCTCCCCAAAAAGAAAGTCAGAATGTCAAAGGGGATTCCCTGTCCACTGTATGCACCTGTCTCCTACCCTTCTTACAGACTCCAGAAACCTTCATTTACTCTTTATTGCCCAGCTCTTATCTGCTCTTTTCTTCCACAGAACTGAATGGCTTATCAGGAACAACTTGATAGTTTACTTTGTCTGCCTTTCCAGGAAGTTCGGCTATCCTCCTAGAAATAATGTCTTTCAGTTCTTTTTCTTTTTGAGACAAAGTCTCACTTTGTTGCCCGGGCTAGAGTGCCATCAGCTTAGCTTACAGTAACCTCAAACTCCTAGGCTCAAGCAATCCTCCTGCCTCAGCCTCCCAAGTTGCTGGGACTACAGGCATGCACCACCATGCTCGGCTAACTTTTTTATATTTTCAGTTGCCCAGCTAATTTCTTTCTATTTTTTTTTTTAGTAGAGACAGGGTCTTGTTCTCGCAGAGGCTGGTTTCAAACTCCTAGCCTCAAGTGATCCTCCCACCTTGGCCTCCCAGAGTGCTAGGATTACAGGCATGAGCCACCATGCCTGGCCTTTCAGTTCTTTTTGATCAGTCTGTGATCTAGAAAAAAAACCATTTTCCAATGGGTCTCTCTGCTTATTAAAAATGTCAGGATGACCCTGCTGTTATATGTAGTAGCTTACCATGTAAAGCTTAATATGTTAATATGCATTTTGTTTAAAATCTATTGATTTTAGAAGTTTATTTTCCCACACCTTGTCTTTATTTAATGTTATTTTAAAACATGGTTCCATGGTAAGTGTTATAATTATGTATATCTTGTTCTCAAAGCCCCATTGCAGTGAGAATCATGAATGACCAATTGATGCTGCTGGAAAGAGCATTTATTGATCCTCTTGGTTTACCAGGGAGGCGGTTCTATAGGTAAGGAAACAAGTGCCCCACTAAACGGTACACATCACTATGACCAAAAACAGCATACCCAAAGTCATCTTTAATGCCATCAGATGAGTGGAAGGTGAATATGTAGACTGAAGGGAATATGGGCAAGATCTAATAGTAGTATAATATGTAAATTAGAAAAATAAATTTCATACTGTTTATTGCTTTGCTGTGAGTGAAAATGGTAAATGATAGTTGAAAAAGAACTCTAACAAAATCTTCAAGCTGTAGAATCTTAAAAGAAATCTTAGAGCTCATCTAGTACAACTGTCTACATGAATCCTTTCTATAGATTCTCAGATAAGTAGTTATTCAGTCTCTCTTTGAATCTTCTAGTGATAGAAAGCTTACTACCTCCTGAGGAAGCCCATTCCATTTTAGGGAAGGTCTAATTATTATAAAGTTTTCTTCATAAAGATCTGAAATCTATTTTCCTGAGACTTTCTCCCTTTGACTCTGTTCTGTTCTTCACAGTCAAGTAGAATAAGTCTAGCTCTATTTCTCTATAACATTTTTGGCTTTCAAGGATGTCTGTCATGTTTCACCTAAAGAAATATAGATGGTCCCCAACTTATAAATGGTTCGACTTTACAATTTTTGAACTTTATGATGGCGCAAAAGCAACATCTATTAAGTAGAAACTGTACTTTGAGTACTCATACAACCATTCTTTTTTTTTCACTTTCAGTACAGTATTCAATGTTACAAGATAGTGAACATTTTATTATAAAATAGGCTCTGTGTTAGATGATTTTGCCCAACTGTAAGCTAATGTAAGTGTTCTGAGCACATTTAAGGTAGCCTAGGCTAAGCTAAGATCTTCAGTAGTTTATGTGTATTAAATGCATTTTTGATTTATATTTTCAATTTATGATGGGTTTATCAGGACATAACCCCATTGTTAAGTCGAAAGACATCTGTATCTTGTTTTTCTCTCTGTATCTTTACATCATGTTTTATTTCAGTATCATGGCTGTATGCCTCTATTTTCTCAAGATCCCTTTTAAACTGTGGTTTGTTGGTGGAAATTAGAAAGGTCCTAGCATTTAAAGTCAGAAAATCTGTGTTCTAGTTCACTTAGAGCTGTGTGATTTAGAGCCAGTCACTTCTATGGTTTTCCCATCTGAATTAAGATGATGATAATTTGCTACTTTACAAGGCTATATTTATCATCAAATAACATGCAAAAAATAGTTCTACATGTTATCTTTCTTGTAAATGTTAGTGATTAGTATTAACATTTAAATAATTACAAGCACAGACTTTTAGAGCCCAGCTCTGTTACATCCTAAGTGTGACCTGGGAAAATTATGTCTCTTAAACCTCAGATTCCTCAGCTCTTAAGTAGAGATTATAATTGCTTTTACCCCATAGGTATGTAGATTTAAAGTAAATTGAAGATTTATCTCAGAAAGGGATACACTCAGAAAACAGCGGCTATTTTAATAAATTATAAATAAGAACACAAATGTTTTGTTTCTTCATTGATACAAATGAAATAACAACCATCAGTTAAGTATTTATATAAATCAAAAAGTCGAAAGCCATACCTACAATGTTAGCCTTCTTTTTGGTGTTATTAATCTATCTTTATGTATTTATTTATTTATAAGAAAAATATCTGTATTTTATCATTATAAAAAATTGACTCTATAGAAACATATAGAATAAAAAGGGACAGTGCCACTCCTACATCCCACACCCACTTTTGTTGTTCTCTTCAGAGAATATCAATGCTAAGTGTTTTGGGCTGGGCACAGTGGCTCATGCCTATAATATCTGCACTTTGGGAGGCTGAGGCAGGAGAACTCTTGAAGTCAGAAGATTGAGAACGGCCTGAGCAACATACTGAGACCCCATCCCTAAAAAAAAATTTTTTTTAATTAGAAAAAACAGTTTAGCATGAAATTTTTAATGCATTTATGTGTGTATAAAAATATACACATACATACACACATATAACACATATATATGTATATAGGCAGGAAGATCGCCAGTGAGGAGGCTGAGGCAGGAGAATTGCTTTTAAGCCCAGGAGTTAGAGGTTACAGTTGAGTTATGATTGCAGCACTGCACTCCTGTCTGGGCAACAGAATGGGAACTTGTCTCTAAAAAATAAATACATAAATTAGAAAAAATGAAAGTATACAGGAGTATCTGCATAGATTATATGCATATACTATCATTTTATATAAGGGACTTGAGCATTCATGGACTTTGGTATCCATGGAGGGTCCTGGAACTGATCCCCCACAGATACTGAGAGATAACCGTATATATTGTCTATGTGTATATGTTTACATATAAATATATTATATTTAAACGTAAAATATATATTCATATTGTATATTTACATATAAATGTATATGCACATTTATATATTCATATATATTTACACATTTTTATATAAATCTATAGACACATTTATATATATGTAAATAGGACCATACATCATTTTACAATTTGCTTTTTTTCCTTAAGAATATACCTTAGAGATATTTCCATGTCAGTATATTTTATATAGTTTTAGCTCTTTCTTCTAATCTGCCATGTAGTGTTACCAAAAGCTTGGCACTCTTCCTCAAAGCTGCATCAGGAGAATGAGAACAAGTGGTTTGAGGAGAAGGAAAGGAAGTTTATTTCTTTGCCAACAAAGGAGGAAAAATGATAGACTCTCATCTCAAAATCCAAATTTTCTGCACTTAAGCAGAAATACAGAGCTTTTAAAGGGAGGGTCCTCAGTTCTAGGCTGTTGTCCTTAATGATTCTAATTGTTCATTTCTGCCCATCTTTGCATGAAGACAAAGTCTGTGACCTCACCCACCTGGGAGGCCAGTGCTAGGCCTAGGATGGCTGAGCTATCTCCTGTAACACAGAGAACAAAAGACATTGTCGCTGCCCAAGGCAGGGATGTAGGCCAGGCCACAGTTCCCAAAGAGTGGGGGAAGTTTTAACAAGAGAGAAAATATTTTTGTCGTTACATATTCTCCTCTGTTACATATTCCTCACTCTCAATTTTACGCTTCCATATCTATGGGAGGAGGGGTGACTACTCTGTTATAATAGTGTTCCATTGTATGGCTTACATCTATAATTTTAAGTAGTCCTTATTGACTTTGTAATTAGTTTCTTTCCAATTATTTACTGTTATGAAAAGTACTGGAATAGGACACCCTTGTGTCTTATATAAACATTTGTTAATATCTCTATAAGGCAGGACCTGGGATTTCAGGATCAAAGGATAAGCACACTTGAAAATTTGATTAGGTTACTGCCAAATTATTCTCCAGAAAGACTATACCATATTTTTTAGAATACATTTTGAACCATTAGCTGAGCATTAAGATTACACATATATTGTTGAGACAAGGTCTTGCTATGTTGCCTAGGCTGGTCTTGAACTCCTGGGCTCAAGTGATCCCTCCATTTACAATTCTCCAGAGGAGGGTAGGTATATTAAGGAATACCTATGACTTTTTTCTCTAATCTCCTGACTCATATACAGGTCATAATATCAATGCTTGTAAACAGCTTAGCATATGTACTGATTTTAGTAAGAAAGCTCCATTTGAGGTCACATTGAAATTTAAAAGGCAAGAGTGATAAATCCTGATGTGCTTTGGTATATCTAAGTGTTAGCATTATAAATTTCTTTGATCATTAATATCGACATACAGAGCCCTATAGTGTTTCTTACAGTAGATTTACGTTTTGAACAAGCTCTAGGATTTGACTGTTGGACTTAATTCCTGATATGAACATTTAATAAAATATGTCCCTTTCTTGAAAGCAAAATTCCACACACACTTACTGGGGAAAGAAGTAGCTTTATTTATTTATTTATTTTTTTGAGACAGAGTCTCACTCTGTTGCCCAAGCTAGAGTGCTGTGGCGTCAGCCTAGCTCACAGCAACCTCAAACTCCTGG